AGCTGGCTTTGTATCCTAAACTCCACTTCATCCAGGATTAAAACAAAGACCGGGGAGATCAGGGCCAGAGACAAGTAAACAACATACTGAGGAGGCAACCAAGTCTGGTCCCTGGCCCCAGAACAACCTCATCTCATCACCATGGCCTCTTCGAATTCCGGTCTTCCTTCCAAGGCTTTTCTCAAGTGCCACCACCAACCATACAGCACCATCCCATAACTATGGTGCTCCCACTACCATGAGACTTCATTGGCTCTATAGCTATTTGGTATTTGCCTTCATATCCCCTCTCTCCCAACCTAGACAATATTGGCTCCTGGAGGATAGGGATGGCTTTTTGTCTGTAGCCTCCGAACCCCATACACAGAGCCCAGAACCCAGATTCATCAGGTCATGGATTTAGAGCTGGGAGGAACGTCACAAGCCTTTTATTTTACAAGTGAGCAACTGAGATCCAGGGGGATGTAGCAATTTGTCATACATTGAGATCATACATTGAGTCAATGGCAGCCCCAGGATTTGAACCCAGGTCCCCTGACTTGGAAGGAAGACAGCGAGAGACATAGAGGATAATTTGGAGATGATAATCAGGAGGAAGTCACTGACATTGAGGGGATCCAGAAAGGCTGATTGTACAACGTAAGGTTTTAGCTGGGAACTGAACAAAGCCAAGATGTCCGGGAGATGGAGGTGAAGAGAGAATTCCAGGCATGGGGGACACACAAGTTATTATCAGGCCGTACCATCACTACGACCCAGTCTCAAAATGAAGGCTTAAAACACAGTACCATGCTGCCTCCAGCAGGCACTTAATAAATTCATGGGGAATGACTGTGAAGAGACTAGAAAGTGATCTCTGAAAGGATGAGTAGAAAGAACGGGGAATGTTTAGGCCAGAGGACCACAGGGCAGCTAGGTGACACAGTGGAGAGAATGCTGGGCCTGAGTTCAAATCCAGCCTCAGATACTTACTAGCTGTGTGCCCCTGGGCAAGATACTTAGCCCTGTTTGCCTCAGTTTCCTCATCTATAAAATGAGCTGAAGAAGGAAATGGCAAACCACTCCAGTGTCTCTGCCAAGAAAGCCCTAAAAAGGGTCAGGAAAAGTCAGACACGACTGGAAAACAGCTAACCGGTAGTAACAAGTGCAGAGGAAGAGGAATCTTGCAGGAGCCGGGAGAGCTGTCTTCGTGTGCCTGAAGGGCTGGTTTGTGGAAGAGGGATCGCATGCATTCCCTTTGGCCTCAGGAAGGAAGTATGGGGGCAAAATTAGGAGTGGTGGCACAGGTAGCAAAGTGGAACGTTGTATCCCCTGTCAGGAAAAAGAACCGTCGATCATTCTAGCTGTTAAGAGGAACTCACAGGTTTCTGGTAACTGGAGGGGCCCTGGGCTACGTGTCCTGGGGTTCTGATGCATGGCCTAACAAGCAAGAGTCACCACATGAGATTTCACCCAAATCACACACATACTACATGAGCCTACGTAATACATGTAGATGTAGATTTCTATGGACATATGGGAAGGAAGGAAATCAGCATTTATTAATCATTTACCATGTACCAGGCACTGCACGAAGTGATTTTCAAATATCATCTCATTCAATCTTCACAACAACCCTGAGATGTAGGTGCTATTACTATTCCCACTTTATAGCTGAGGAAACTGAGGAAAACAGAGGTTGGGTGACTGGCCCTGGGTCACACAAATAGTATCTATGGCCATATTTGAAATCAGATCTACCTGACCCCAGGCCCAGGACTCTATCCATTTGGCCACCTGCTATATATTCCAAGCCCAATGCCCTCTATCCACTGTGCCATGCCACTACCTTGTGGCTGAATAGGAAATGGACTGGAGTGGGGAAAGACTATAGGCATATTGACCCACCTATTTCAATAGTTCTGCCATGAGGCGATGAAGTGCAGACATTCATGTCTGCACCAGTGGTGACAGTATCAGAGAAGAGGAAGAGGCAAATTTGAGAGACATTGCAAGGGTGAGACCTTGACAACAGACTAGAAATGAGATGTGAGTGATAACAAGGAGTCTAAAGCATCGCCTAGTTTGGGAGCCTTGTAGACTGAGGGGGAAATGGTGCCCTTGACAGTGATGGGTAAGTTTGAAAAAGGGGAGGGGTTTTTTGGGGGGGAATAATGAGTGTGTATGTACATGTGTATTGTGTGCATGTGTGCACATGAGTACATGTGCCTATATGTATACATAGCCATATACCTATAAATGTGTATAGATGTCAATATGCAGAAAGATCTATGCACATACATATATACTTACATATACACATACATATGCATATACAAACACAGGTGCACCTAGGTGTCAAGTTATGTATCTATATCCACATGGGTACTCTAAAGACCGCTCACAAGAGGTATAAAAAGATAACTCTGCCATCTTACTCCATCCCATTTGGAGGGAAACTGTGTCTCTTGTCCTGAAAGAAATAGGACAAGGGCCATGAAGCTGGGCACTTTCTCAAGTCTTTGAGAGTTGGACAAGGCTAGAGTTATACCCCCTTGCTTCCTCCCCAATATTTCCTTTCTAGGGGTGCCAAAATAATGCCACTTCCATGGTCACTTTTAAGGTGGCATGGTTGCCCCCAAGCCTTTATCTGTTGTTTGGGGACCCTTCCCACAAAAATAATGGCTCTACACAAAGCCATTGCATGTAAGAAATAATAACAATCATAGCTAGCGTTTGTATACTGCTTTAAGGCTTGCAAAGGAATTTAAACGTGCTGTCTCATTTGATTATCATCAATATGCTGGGAGGTTAAGTGCGATTATTATCCCCATTTTACAGAGGAGAAAACTAAGGCACGGAGAGCATAACTGATGTGCCCGGCTAGTGTCTGAGGATGGATCTTAAGCCATTTTCTTGACTTCGAGTCCCAACACTCTCTACATTGTGCCTACTAAGCCAGCTGAATGGTGAGTAAACTCATTTATCCAGGCCCAAAAGAAATAGAAACATACACAGACTTGAATCAGCTGTTCTGATGGGAGTGAGTTAAGATCTCAACTCAAACCAAGAGACAGAGAGATAGAGACAGAGACAGAGATAGGCATAGAAGATAGGTAGACAGAAAGACACAGAGAGACAGAGAGGGACCCAGATCTCCCCCAAGGGGTAAGGGCTGTAGGCTAGAAATCAAAGTGTGAAGAGCCAGCTTCCCCCTTCTTGTCTGCAGCTTCAGAAGTCTTTCTCTCTCTCCCCTCCCTTGAACTGCCTCAAAGAAAGTCCTCAAGTGTATATGTCTCTTGTGGGGAATGTATCCAACCAGCTCCATTCCTTACATGGGCATATAGCATTCTAGTGAGAATACAGTTCTTTTAATGTGACTTACTCCATTTTGTCACAAAGCAGTTGTGCTGTGTTGGGTTTTTTTTGTTTTGTTTTGTTTTTTCCCCTCCAGTAACAAGATAAAAATTGAAATGACATAATCTTCCAATAGCCTATGTGCCCCAAATTTGGTAAACAATTATGAATGACATGTCTGATAAACAGCTGCTAAGGACAGGTGTCCCCCGAATCTGGTAAACCACTCATATATATTTGATCATGACATGAGCTTTGACATTTTCTTTGCATCATCCTCTTAGGGAAGCAATCACCCATAAGGACTTAGCCAGATCCCCAGTCATCAGCCTGTCCCTGGGTTGCAAACCCCAAGTCTGAATTCAGTATCACCTTAAGTTGCGACTGTGTTCCTCACACTTGAAATGCAACTAGTCTTCACGTCCACTTGAGGGCAGTCAGTGAGATACAAGGCTTCCAGCAGGGCAGAGAAGGAAGTGCTGGCTGATGGATGGATTTGAAGACTTGCCTTGGAGGAATATACAAGGCTTCCAGCTGGGCAGAGAGGGAAACTTGTCACTGAGTACTTCTATGGGACGTGTTTACTGGGAAACCCCAGCAAATCAAGTTGGTGGTTTATTCCTCATGGGGTTAATGCGCGTATTGTCAAATAAATTATATAAATTCATGTTTTTATGCCTTTGGTTGATAAAGTTTGATAGCTAGAATTGAGAAGTATAGGTTTCCATTGTACTAGTGAGCATAAATAAAAATAAATCTCTTTTGCATGATCACCATGCATTATAGGTATTGTTTCAGAAATCTAACTAGCTGTCACTTCATGCACATAGGAGCATTTAGAAAAATGTTGGATGGTTTCGAGGAAACCTGTGTTATACATAGGAAGACAAAAAATTAAAAGTCCTATAAGGTCATCTACCCTACTTCCCAGACAATATAATGGTGCTACAATTTACTTATGCAAACTGTTTTGATTTTAGAGACAGAAGGAGTTTGGAAATAATACACTCAGAAAATGAATAAAGGTGATTTTAATTTGGCCAGTTGCCTAAAATGGAGGACCTGGTATAGTAGATCCAGAAACAAAGTACCTGAGTTCAAATTCTGACCCTGTCACTTATTCGCTGTGGAAAAGCCACTTAAATTCTGTGTCTCAATGATCTAGACTATAACATGAAGATAATATTAAGGTCTTACAAAGTACTGTGAGGAAAGTACTTTTTCCACAACAGAACAAAATGTAATTGATTTTCATGATTACAGGTGGAGAAACTGAGTTCTTCACCTGACAGATTAAATCAATTACCTAAAGTTACAAAGGTGAAGAACTGAATTAGGATTCAAACCTAGGTCTTCTGACTTCAGAGCCAATGCTTGGCCAAAAACCTCCTCCAGCTCTAAATTCTATAGTTCTCTTTAATGGTTTTTGACATGGCTCCAAATCTGGCTTGATTCCCAGATGATCTATCTCTATCCACCTCTCCTTTCTGGTCAGCATAACATCAACTATAAGAAGCCATCTTTCCTTTATTAAGCTCTTGGCTCCCTAAGGATCATAAGGGAGGTCACAGGTGGGCCTTTTGGTCTAGGGAGATGTATAGGGATGGGGGTGGGGTAGGCAGAAGCTGAGGGGGAGGGAGTTCTGAAGCAGTTGGAGAATCCGTTTGGAGTGGCTGCTCTTTTACTGCTCCTTCATGTCTCATAACCCTTTCCCCAAGAATTGGGGTCTGGCCCACCATCAACCCCACAGTTCCTTTGGGGGAGAGTTTGGAAGGTGAGAGATGAGGCTGAGGTAAGAGGATTCTCCAAAAAGTCCCCTCGTGGACTACTTGGACAGTGTGGTCCTTCAGCTTGGTCTGAGAACAGGTAGGGGACAATGTGGCCCATAGGAGGTGAGATCCATTTGGGGTTTGCTAAAAAAAAAAAAAATTTAAATCACCTCAGACACTAGCTGTGTGACCGTAGGGAAGTCATTTAGCCCTGTTTACATCCGTTTCCTCATCTGTAAAATGAGTTGGAGAAGGGAATGGCAAACCACTCCAGTATCTTTGCCAAGAAAACCCCAAATAGGGTCACGAGGAATCAGACATGATTGAAATGACTCAAGTACCCTGGATGTCAGGACCAGAGCTGCCATGTGGGAAAGAAGAGAGGGAGGTGCTTGGAGTTGGAAATCAGGATTGAGGATCAAGATTCAGTAATAAATCAGGTCAGGGATTGGTGAAGTGATCGGGCAAAAGTCCCAAGATGAGTTGGCTTTAGTGTAAGGTCAGGCTTCCCCAGCATCAGAAGCAGAAATCCAGAGGTTGCAATGGTTTGGTGGCGTACTTTGTGACTAGAAGTCGTGGCGTCAGGAGGTCACAGAGGCCACTTCTGTTTAGATTGGACTAGACTGTTGCTGAGGTCCCTTCCAAATTGGCCATTTGGGGGAAACTCACTGCTGGTCATTTCTACAGATGGAAGGGGATTCAAAAGCGCAGGATCTCCATGTTACCTCTCAGTCATCGGCTGTTGCACCGAGCACGCCATCTGAGCCGGGAGCTCTGTCTGCTGCTGAGCCTGGCTGGGCTAGCCATCGCCGGTCTGCTTTCTCTGTATAAGTCATGGATTCGCTTTTATGTGCCAGTGGGTATTCCTGGCAACTTCACCGTCATTGACATCTACACCTCTCTCCTTGTTCCCTGCCCAGAAACCGAATGCACACTGGAGCCTGACCAGCCGCCCTGTGAGTCTGCCTGTCCCCCTCACCCAGGAACTCACCCATCCCTGAGCAGAGAGCACCCTTTCACTGGGAGACCTATCGCAGAAAAGAGATCCAAACACCACGGGCTCTCATCTCATCCCATCCCAAGCAAAGACCTCCCTCTTGCCTAGGACACCCTCCCCAAAATTAGAGAACCCCTACTTAATTGGAAACTTCCTCCTCACTCTGGGATGGTCTCCCCTCCCTTCCAGTTTTCCCCAAGACCCCAAATCCCTATTCCCCGAGAGTCCTAACCCATTAGACATTCACCCCTTTTCCTTCTTTCCTCAGATTACCTGAATTACTCCGTCATCTTCATACTCATTGCTAGCCTCGTCAGTTTCCTTCTCTGCCTGGCCCTGGCCTACTCCATTATCTTCTTCACAGGCTCAGTGCCCATCTTTGACCTCTCCACCTCCATTGCCAGCTTCATTGCAGGCATGATCCCTAATTCTTGGCCCTTTTCTGATCCCAATTCCCAATACAATCTCATTACCAATTCAATCCAGACTCAACTTTACCCCCATCCTTAATTCCCCAAAACCCTTATCCAAGGTCCAGCCTCATTCCCATTCTTGTCTAACCTCATCTCTGTCCCCAAGCTCATTCCCAGTCTTATCTCTATCTGACCCTCTGGTGTTTTTTTCTACAAAGAAGAGATATAGTCATTAGTGATATCCAGGGGCCCCATTACTGTTGAAGGGCCAGAGGAACTGATTAGTGTACTGGTAGGATTTGGAGAGAAACAGGTTCTACCCCTATCCTCATTGGGCAGGAATAGACAGTGAAGAATTCATGAGGGAGGTCAGTCAATCAGCAAACATTTGTTAAGTGCTTACTATGTTCCAGGCACTTATTAAGTACTGGGGGAAGGAAGCAAGCAAGCAAGAAAGGAAACAAGCATTTATTAAGCACCTAACATGTGCCAGGCTCTGTGCTAAGTGCTTTATAAATATTATCACATTTTCATCCTTACAGCAACCCTGGGAGGTAGGTGCTGTTACTACTGTCATTTTACAGTTAAGAAAACTTAAGCTAGATGGAGATTAAGTGACTAGTCTAGGGTCACACAGGCAGGAAGTGTTTCAGAAAGGATTAAAATTCAGGCCACCCTAACTGTAAACTTAATGGTTTCTCCACTCTTCCACCTATCTGGGGTACAAAGAAAGATAGAAATTGATTATCCCCTTGAACTCAATTTCTGAAGAGTGAGACAACATGCAAATGCCTAGATAAAAGAAGATATCTCCAGAGGATATGGAGGCTGATCTGAGAGGGAAAAGCATTAGCAGGTGAGGGATTGGGATGAAAAGGCTATCCCAGATCCTGCAGTTCCACCAAAGAGCACCCTTATGTCATTTCTTCACATTTGCCAGCCAAACTCCTCAGAGGGAGCCCAAGTCTCAGTCACCACCACCATCACGTCTAGGTCTATCAGATGCTTCCCGTAAGACACCCCTGGGAGGGAGTTACTGGGAGATCCTCATTGGAAAGAGGAGAAAATCGTGGCCCAGACAGGCAAAATGCCTTCCCCAAGGTCACACGGCAAGTAAATGTTAAACTGAGGTCAACAGATGCGCATGCTCTTCCCATTTGCCAGGGTGCCTCTGTACAATATTTTCCTCCAGTTCTGTGTCACCTTAGAGAAGTTTAGGCCCCATGATATGGAGCAGGAAGGGCCTGGAGAGGGTGACTCAGCCAGCCCCCTCACTTTACAGATAGGGAAACTGAGACTCGAAAAGGTGGCACAACCTTACCTTAGTCATACAGGTAAGACGTACAGAAGGGGCATTTGAACCCCTTTTTCCTAGGGCCCCAGGCAAAGAGTTCCTAAGCCTAGGGAATATGTTGGATCCAGCCCAGCTGCAGAACAGGAGCCAGGTAAAACAGTTAAGGAGGTGAGCCTATGATCAGGTGGTTTTCTTTCCTGGCCACTTCTAATTACTTTAAGTGTCAGATGCACTTTTTTTTCTGACTTTGCCCACTTGGTTTTCTTTCTCAAATACCTCCTGTTTTGAGGGCCTGTGACTTCACTGTTGTGAATGCTGCACCATAAAAAGGCATCCTGGCCCCTCCACCTCTGTAGCTAAGCCCAAAACACTATCATCAGAAGGTCTGACCCTGGGCTTCAGTAAATGCGGTTAGGCCGATACTCCCATGAGAAGTACCCATTTACATGGCCTGGGACCACATTGAAATCCTGCCTACTTTGGCAGGATGGGTCAGAACTCATCTGTTGACACAGGTGTCATGAAGGTAAGCTCCACATCATGTTGAGAAATGGGGGATGTTAGAAGAGGCTTCCTTGTCAATAAACCAACAGAACTCACGTTTATGGCCTGGAATCTGTGGCTGAAAGGGAAATGTGGGGGAACTCCCAAGGCAAGAGGGGACTATTTAGTCCAGGAAAGAACAGGTGGGTGACTCCTGTTATGGCAGCTAAGGCAGGTGAAGGAAGTGGTGATTAGGAACAGGGTGTGGTAGATCCGCCAGCCTGGGCACTAAGGTCAGGACACTTGGGTCTTTGAGCTCAGTAAGTAAAGAAGCCTGAGAAAGTCTGGGAAATGGGAAAACCCAGGGACCAAAGGAGAAGAGTCCCTGCCTGACTCTAAGAGAGCCCACATTTCTGAGCATGGCAGGTCATGCCTGTGATCTCTGCTCCTTGGGATGATCTCTTGACACTGGGGTTTCTGAGCTGCAGTGGGCTAAGCCTTTCAGGTATCCAAACAAGGGCTACATTGAAGCATTGAGCCCTGAGATTGATCAAAAGGGGCTGAACTGGCCTAGGTTGGAAACACAGCAGGTTAAAATTACATTGAGAGCTGCACCAGACCTACGAGTCTCTGTTGCACGTCCAACCTTGGCAAGATAGGGAGACTAAAAAAAATCCCAAATCTCTGGGAAATCCAAGAGAGGTAAGACCTACCTCTTGGTAAAGTGGGTGGGATTCTTCCTAAAAATGTTTCTGAACACTGAGTGCAGAGTTGGGGGTCCTACCACACCCTTTACTCTCAGCATGACTTTGAGCGAATCACTTGGCTTCCCAGGCCTCAGTTTCCCTCCCTGTAAGATGAGAGTGTTGGCCTAGATATCTAATATATCTAGATATAATAATAATTGTAATTAGCAGTCATGTAGCGCTCTAAGGTTTGCAAAGTGCTTCACGTATTATCTCATTTGGTCCCAAAGATAGTCCTGCGAGGTAGGGGCTATTGTTGAGGCTGAGATATTAAATGACTAGCCCAGGGTCCACGAGCAGCTAGTGTGTGAGGCAAGTTGTCCTGACTGCAACTCTGCCCACTGAGCCATCTCCATCTGGCTGGGGAGATCCCAACCTGGCCTCTGAGGTCCAGTTCCACTCTTGGACGAGTTCAGACCAGATCTCTCACTCCAGATCTAGCAATAAAACAGTTTGGTGGACAGCCCAGCCCAGGCACCACAAGCTTGGCCCCAAAGGTGGGGGTTGCCACATCTCAGGAGCCACATAGCTCTCTGTTCCTTCTAGCTCAGTCCAAGCTCTCTGCCTTTCTCCATCTTCATAGCTGCCCAGCACCAGCCAGACTTCCAGAGAAGCCTTGCTGGCCATTGATTTTATAAGAACGTGAGTCTGCAGCTAGACCAGACCAAAGAGGTCGTCTACAACACATTCTTCATTTTACAGTAAGCACCACCGAGGCCCAGACGGGTTATATGAATGTGGCCAAGATGGGATTCAGAGCAGCAACTTTAGAGATCATTTAGGCCACCTCGTTTTACACATGAGGAAACTGAGGTGCAGAGAGGCAAGGGCCTCACTCAGAGCCATAGAGCCATCATGAAAGTCTGAGGCAGGATTTGAATCATGGTCCTTCCAACCTCGAGGCCAGCCTTGTACCCACTGTGAGCTGTGCACTCTTCCCTTCCCCCACTCCCCACCCTAGATTCCTCCACTGGGCCACAATGTCTTTCTTAATGCAGGGGAAAAGTCCTCAAGGGATCGTTGCACACACCCTTCTTATTGTATCCATGAGGACATACCGTACCTTGACCCCAACATAGTGAGGTCATTCTTCTTCTCTTCAAACAACCCATCTAGGAGGAAGCTGAGAGCTGGAGGGGGGAGACCTTATAGCAGACCGACAGCTAGAAAAGGCACTTGGGGGATGGTGTGTCATTCTCATCAAAAGAGAGGAGAGTCACGCCTTCACACTGGCCTCTTGGGGCCAAGGAGGGCTTACCATGACCCCATCCCTGTAGTAAGGGAGGTCTAAGCCCCATGGTTAGTGTTTCTAGCTAACAGTTATAAAGTGCTTTAAGGTTTTCAAAGCAATAGATAGATAGATAGATAGATAGATAGATAGATAGATAGATAGATAGATAGAATAAGATAGCTAGGAGAGATAGATAGGTAGATAGAATAAAATGGCTAGACATGATAGATAGATAGATAGATAGATAGATAGATAGATAGATAGATAGATAGATAGATAAGATAGCTAGGAGAGATAGGTAGATAGAATAAAATGGCTAGACATGATAGATAGATAGATAGATAGATAGATAGATAGATAGATGGATAGATAGATAGATAGATAGATAGATAGATAGATAGATAGAATAAGATAAATAGGAAAGATAGATGGATGATAGATAGATAGATGGATAGATAGAATAAGATAGATAGGAGAGATAGACATAGATAGATAGATAGATAGATAGATAGATACATACATACATACATACATACATACATAGATATATAGATAGATAGAATAAGATAGGAGAGATAGGTAAAAAAAATAAGAGAGAGATATATAAAATGTATATATACACGCACATATATATGCATACATATATATAGTGCTTTATGTATATATAATGTTCATATGCATGTGTGTGTATTTATATACACAAACCTATACATATGGATATACATCCATATATATGTATCTATCCCTCTGTCTTCTTATACCTATCTATCTATCTGACATCCCTGTTTTACGGATGAGGAAAAATGAAGCTCAATAAGGCTAAGTGACTGGCCACAGGCCACACAGGTTCTAAATATTCTGGGTGGGAATTGAACCCAGGACATCTTGCCTCCCAGGCAGCACTCTCTCCACGCCCCCAGCCCTGCCTCTTGTGACCTGTGTTTCCTGTCCTGTGCCAAGGCCTGTTCCTGTTCCTGTGCGCCCTGTTCTACCTGCTTCAGGCCCGGAATTTCCTGCAGGAGGGAATGAGCTACACCCTGGAAATAAACTACTACCTGACATGGGCGGGCATCTTCCTCTTCATGATGACAGGTGGGGATGAAAGCCGAGGCTCCCTCTGGGATGAAGCTGGGGCTGGGGCAGGGACAGAGCTTGCCTGGGGGGTGGGAATGGGGAGAGGCTGGCAATGAGGTGAGGATGAGGATGAGGATGAGGCTGGAACACAGAGCGGGGACGGACTTTGCTGTCAGATTAGGGAAGGGGTAGAAGAGGCTAAGAAAGGTGGTCTAGGGATGGTGTGGAGGTGGGACGGAAAGGAGGCAAGGGAGGAGAGGATAAAGAGAGTCCAGGGACATGGGTTCAAATCCCACATCCTGCACGACCTTGGGCCAGTCGCAATCTTCCTAGGCCTCAGTTTCCCTAAGTAAAATGACACAGTTGGACTAGTTGAACTCTTCAGATCTGTGGTCTTGAGAACTAGGGATGTTTGGGGTGGGAAATGGTCTGGGGTGAGGATGGTACATGGAAGGAGGAAGAGATATATGATAGGAATGGGCATGGGGGAGGATGGAGAAGGAAAATGATTTCTCATACTCAATTCTTCTCATAGGCTTCCTTTGCTTCCTCAACTATCTGAATTTCTGGTCTATAATTACACCTGGAGGGTGCTGGCTTTAGGCCATTAAGATTGATTCTTACCCTGGTCCCTGCCCTCACGACTTCTTACTCCCACCCCAACCCTTACACCTTCCTAGCTGAGCCCATCACCACCCTTGGGCCATCCCTTCTTCCCACTTGACTCCTCAATTTAATAAACTCATGTGTCCTCACTCTTCCCAACCTGAAGTCCTTCCACTCAATCAGCTTGACTTTACTGAGCTCCCCTGAGCCCCCTACCTCATGGGCTCCATGTTTCTTCCCATTACATGCTCCAGAAAGTAAGAAGCCATGGTCCTTGCTCTCAGGATGTCACAGTCTGGTTAGGGAGATGGGGACCCCACAATTGCAACCCTAAGGGGAATCCCAGAATCGCTGGGTTGCTGGCATTGATAGTGTCATCCAGTATGCACAGAGCTTTACATGGCTGTCCTTGGACCCTCACAATAACCATTGTGGTCCCTGTTTTACAGAGGAGGAAGTCAAGACTGAGGGTCACACCGAGACAGGATTTGAACTCAGCTTTGCACTGACTCTATGGCCAACACTTTATGGTTGTCCCCTTACTAACTTGAAATAAATCTCCCCTTGTGTTATGGAAGCAGCCTGAATTTGGAGGCAGAAGGCCTAGGTTTAAGTCTGAGCTCTGCTGCTTTCTGGAATCTTGGACAAAACCCAATGTCTCTCAGTTTCTTCCTCTGTTCATTGAAGGGCAAGGCTTGCACAATCTCCAAAGGAGAAGGCTGGAGAGGTGGTCTGGGGCCTGAGGGGAGAGAAAAAACTTAGGGGAATTGTTGCCATGTTTCCTGCTCATTAACCCTTGTGTTATTTTAAACCACTGTGAGAGGGAAGGAAGGAAGGAAGAAAGGAAGGAGGGAGGAAGAAAAGGAGAGAGAGAGAGAAGGAGGAGGAGGAGGAGGAAAGAAAGGAAGAAAAAAGAGAAAGAAGAAAATAATGAAGAGAAAAGGAATGAAGAGAGAAAGAATGAAGGAAAGAAGAAATTGGAATGGGAATTTAAGGGGGTCCCTTCTGCTCTGAATTTGAGGGGCTTGGCTTCTCTAGGAGTTCAATAAAGGGAATAATGTGGATGGAGTGAGGGGTTGTGGATTCAAAGGTAAGACACAGGGTCTACACAAAGATCAGAATGGAGATGTGAACCATAGTGTAGACAGAGGCCAGGCACAGGCTGAGAGCAGTGCTAGTCTAAACAGTGGAAGCTGTGCCCAGCACTGAATCTTCAGTGCTTCCTTCCAATTCACCTCTTGGGCCTCAGGAATTTGGGGCAAGGCCGGGGGTGCAAGGATCCACGGCCTTTTCCTCCTGCCAGTGAACACCTCAGGACCTCCTTGCATCACCTTTTCTTCAGAGGCTCTGCCCCAAGGGCTGGCTGGCCTCCTCATTCTGGCTGCCACGACAAACTTCCCCACGGGGCTTTCCACCCCAGGCCCACTAGGGAACAGGCCCTCTCATCCCAGACTTTCCTATTCTACCTGTGAGTCAAAACGTCAGCTCCTCAAAGACTTTCTTGGGATCCACCGAAAGGTGCACATACATCACAGAGGTATATACAGGATGTTACAAAAGTCTTGGTGTACTTTTAAGCTATAATATTTTTGAGGCATATGTATATGTATGTGCAAATATGTTATATATGTATATGTGTGTTGCGATGCATGTTTAGCATATGTGTGTATGTGGATATGTATGTGTTCACGTGCATTGAATATGTGTATGTGTATATGTATAAATGTACATATATAGTCTAAACTTAAACATGCCCAAATCAGCATTTCCACATACACAGCAGAACACAAGAGGACTGAATATGAAAGTGTGAATCTCCGTTTCACGCCGCTTGCATGTTTTCCAAAAGGTTTATAATAAATTGCATTTTTGTGGCTTTCAAAATTGTTCTTTTTACTTGTTTCCTTCTGTACTTCTGCCTGTTCTTGTGTATGTATATTTGTGTGTGTATATATGTGTGTGTATGTGTGTATGTACACACACACACACACATATATGTATTTCAACACCTCTTTTTTTGTGCATCATTATTGCTGCCCCCTACCCTCAATTCTTAATTTAAAAACCAAGAGAAAAATGGGGAAAAAATTAGCAATCGATGAACAGTCAGTGTGTGTTTCTTCCTGCACCCTGAGTTCATCACATCTCTGTCAGGAGATGGGTCATATGCTTCATTCCTGGGGCTCCTGGAGACATGGGTGGTCATTGCTTTGCTCACAGTGCTAAAAGCCTTCAAAATTGTTTTTCTTTACAATAGTTTCAGCTCATGTTACCAAGGAATCTCTGAGATGGTCTCTTTTGTTATTTTTTTATGGTGCAATAATATGCAATTATATTAATATAACCACATTTTTTTCAGCCCTTCCCCAATGGATGGACACTCCCTGAAATTCCCATTTCCATTCCTTCCTTCTTTCTTTCTCTCTCTATTTCTTCTTTTTCTCTTCATTCCTTCTTTTTTCCCTTTCTTTTCTTTCTTTCCTGCTCCTCCTCCCTTTTCTCTCTCCCTTTCTTCCTTCCTCCCTCCTTCCTTCCTTCCCTCCTTCCCTCCTTCCTTCCCATAGTGATTTAAAATAACAAAAGGGCTGATGAGCAGGAAACATGGCAACAATTCCCAGAAGTTTTTTCTCTTCCCTCAGGCCCCACACCACTTCTCCAGCCTTTTCCCTCCTCTCTTTGGCTAACCCTGTCTCCTCCAAACCAACCTTAGAGCCAGGTCCTTCCCTGATAGCTCTGCCTCTTCTTCAGGCCCAGATAAATGGTCCTTGGGGGCCTGTGCTGGTATCAAACTCAAAGAGAAATGGGGTCACTGGACCATACCTAAGGATCCCAGTGGGCTGCATGTGGACTTAGAAAGTCACATGTTGACATGGTCTCTGGTCTTTTGTTCAGTTTTTCCCAATTACATTTCAGTCTGGTTCCTGCACTTGAGAGCGTAATGTTGCCTACATGGTATTTGAACCCTTTGGTGTAGGGGAGAGGCAACTGGACTGGGAGCCAGAAACACCTGGTTCAAATCCCATTTCAGAGACTATGCAACCCTGGACAAGCCATTTGACCTCTCTGGGCCTCAGTTTCCTCATCTGTAAACTGAGGGAGTTGGGCTCAATGCCTCTAAGGTCCCTACCAGCTCTAAATCCATGTTCCTCTAATTATCCCTTCAGTGAGCCTCCCCTAATCCCAGTGGTCTGACCCCATTGTATGGTCCCTCTTCCCAATGCCCGGCAGGTTTATACCTTTGTATTCACTCTGATGGGTCCGGGGCAGCAAGGAATGGGAAGGCCATTGGACCAGAAGTTACAAGATCAATTTTATGCAACATGATGATATTAATAACCAGACCCCCTATTTCCACTTTCCCTCTCTTTAATCCACCACCTACACCTCTGCCCAAGTACTCCTCCTTAGGCTCAATGTCATCCCCTACTCAGAAAGACCAGTGGCTCCCTTTTGCCCTAAGGTATTGAGTCCTCAGCTTGGCACTCAAGGCCACCTTGATCCTGCTTCATTTTATCTTTCTAGCTTTCCTCCTCACAGTCCCCTTTGTGCACTCTAGGCTCCAGCAAACAGGATTATTGGCTGCTCCCAGAACTTAGCTAACCCTGGGCTTCTGTGCAAGCCACCCCTTCTCTCTCTCTCATACACACACTCTGTTTCTCTCTCTGTCTTTCTCCCTCTCTCTGTCTCTGTCTGTCTCTGTCTCTCTCTCTCTTCTCTCTGTCTCTCTCCCTCCCTTCCTCTCTCTCTGTCTCTCTCTCTTTCTCTGTCTCTCTCTCTCTCTTCTCTGTCTCTTTCTCTCTCTGTCTCTCACTCTCTCTTTCTCTCTCTCTTCCTCTTTGAATCCTTCTCTTCCTTGAAGGCTCAGTTCAAGTGTAATCTCCTCTGGACAGTCCTCCCTGATCCTCCCAGAGGGAGTGCTCCCTCCCCCCTTAAACTTGTCTGGGTATGTGTTGTATCAGCCACTAGAATGTGGGCTCCATGAGGGCAGGGATGGTCTTGTTGCTCAGTCTGTGTGGCCCGTGGTAGGTGGTTCATGTTTAATAAATTACAAGTCAGAAGGAACCCCAGAAGTCACCTCCCTTCATTCTACAGAGAAACCTTCCACTCATATGGCTGAGAAGTAGCTGACACTGCCTCCTTCCTTGCCACCGGCTGAAATCTTTCCAGTGGAAAGCTAGTTCAGTCACCATTTCTTCCCTGAGGCCATCTCTGGACTCTACAGCTGAAGATGAGCTTCCCCTCCTCAGCACTGAGAGCTCTCTGCTGTTTTGATGACATCGTGTTATGTGGCCGTGCATGATGATACCTCTCAGTAGACCATAAGCTTCTTGAGGGCAGGGACTCTGCCACTTTGGTCTCTCAGTTTCAAGTCTCTCCCCTTGAAGTCCATCCTCCACGAAGCTGCCGAAGTGGCTTTCCCTGGGGGAGACATATCATTCCCTCCCCACTCTGTACACTCCAGTGGCTCCCTATTACCTCTAGGATTAAAAGGAACCTCTTCTGTTTGGTATTTAAATTTCTCGATAACCTGACTCCTCCCTAGCTTTCCAGTCCATTTATACAACATTCCCCTCTGCAAATTCTACAGTCCAGCCATACATTCCTACTCACTGTTCCTCACACTCAACGTATCCCCTGGTGCTTCCACACCTTTGACATAGCTGGAATGTGCTCCCTCCTGGCCTCTGCCTCTTGGAATCCACAGCTTCCTTCAAGTCTCAGCCCAAGACCACCTTGTGCCAAAGACCCCGCCCTCCTCCCCACCTGCCAGCACCTTTTCCCCCTAAGGTTGCCCTGTATGACCTCACTGGTTTGTGTCTTGTATATTCCTATGTATTCCCACATTGTGCTTCCATCAGAATGAAATCTCCTAGACAGTAAGGACATTTTCATATGTGTCTTTGTATCTCTAAGCACTAATTACAATGCCTGGCACAAAATCAGCACAGTAGCACTGTTGTTTGCTTTATCTTTGCATTCTTCCCATCAGGCAAACTACTAGGCATTTATCAGTGCTAAAATTGAATTGCAGTGGACCAAAGGAGAGAGAATGCAGCATGTGTAGGGGGTTTACAATGATAGGATTTAGAGTAGGAAGGGGGATTTTAGACATCATATGTTACAGATGGGGAAACTGAGGCTCAAAGGGCTTACGTGGCATGCCCAATATCACACAAGGATCAAGGCTGAAAGGCACTTAACAATCCTGGAACATAGGGGCCAATTTTTTAACCAAATCCAGATGTCCAAAGTTGCTGTCATCATCTTTTCCCAAAATATAAAGTGGGTCAAAAGAGGACTGAGGCTGCTCTGGACCAGCATTTACTTCCTTCTTGACTCTGCCCTGGTCCAACTTCTGAAAGTCTTCCCCCCAACTCCATGGACCACAAGATGGGAGGAGCCATCTCCTTGGTAACATCCTGTTGTCCCAGGCAGAAGCAGGTCCAGTCCCCGGCTTTTTGCACCCAGCCCCATATCCCCAGAAGAATTTGGCAGGAGAATGTCCCCAGTCCACAAAGAGCAGGAGAAGCAATGTGAAACGATAAGAGGTGGTGGAGGAAGACATGGAAAAAAAGAGGAAGGCTCAGTATTGAGTGAAAGTGGAATGGGGACATTATTTGGGAAAAAGAATTTAGGGAAGGTAATGAGAGAAAAGGAACACTGGAGTCCCAGGACTATCTCCCCTTCTCCTGCCCCACTTTGGGGTCTTAAGTATCTAACTCACTAATACCATGCTCTCCGAGGACCCAACCTCTTGACAAATACTACATACCATCTAGGTGACTCATATACCTGCCCCCATACATGTACCCTATCTATGATGTAATGGACAATTTAAAGTCATAAGACCTAAGTTTTAATTCCAACTC